TGCCATAGAGTTGATTCAACTCACAGAGACCCCTCCTTGGGTTTCTGAGGCAGTATCTCTACGGAAGGAGCTCTGGTGCGGTAGTGCCTAAGGCACTTGACTGCTAACCAGAAGGCTGGAGGTTCAAACCCACCAGCTACTCCTCAGAAGGAAGATTGGGCAATCTACTTCCATAGTGATACTACCTCGGAAACCCAAGGAGAAGTCACTGTGAGTCGGATCCCACTCGACGGCAGTGAGTTTAAGTATCTCTACTGAAATAGATTACCCAGTCTTTCTCCTGAAGAGCGGCTGGTGGATTTGAACTGCCAGCCTTCTGGTTAGCAGTCAAATGCCTTAGGCAGTACACCAGCAGAGCTCCTCCTAGCGTTCACAAATCCAAGCATGGGTGAATAGACTATCAGGATAGGGTTAATTTTGGGGAGAGATAAGATGTTTTGATTGGCATGAAGCACATAAGAAATTTCTGGGGTGTCTGGCCAAGTTCAATTGCTTGACCTAAGTGGTGATTACAGGGGTTTTACTTAAATGCTTCACCAAATTATACATTTTATGTGGTTATTTGTTATCTCTTTTATTTTACAATTAAAAGGTATAAAAAGCAGAAGGAAACAGTGATTATTTATCTTCTGAAAACTTTGTGGGGACTACAGCTGGATCAGAGAAAGATTTGGGAATAATAGTGTACAGGGCCAGGGCTGGACCACAGAAAAGGAAACAGTTTGGAACTTGAAGTAGGTAGGTCATAGCGGGATTTCCAGACAGTTTGCTTAGAAATGAAGACTTAATGAAGTAGGCAAGTAGCAGGAAGAAGGGCACAAGGGTAGGGGTAGGGAGGCGCATGATCTCAGAATACAAAGTTTGTAAAATCAGTCCAAGATTTCCCTAGGCTTATGGGAAAGAATCACTTCCAGAACGTAGACCTCACTAATGTTGTAGGGCCCAGGATACTCAGCTACAGCAGGATCCAGGAGAAGCTTCAGTTAGGACCTTGTCATGGCTGCGGTGGGAGAATACTTCTTGAGACCTGCAGGAACAGTGACAAAGCTCTCATGACGCACTCGCTCTCCCATTTCAGGAACTCAGGAGACAGAACCATCCAACCAGAGCCAAAGCCACCCTTTGTCCCCTAATCCCAATTGTGTCTCCTCTTGGCCAAAGGACTAGGGCAATGATCTGCCACCCATAGGCAAGGAAGAAAAGACATTACCTCATCATCAGACAACTGAGACTCCATATATCCTGGAGAGAAAAAGAGAATGCCCCAGCTAGTACCAAATGAGTATCATTATGTGGAGGGGATGGAGGAGGGTTTGCAGTATCCCATCTCCACGTACACCCTCCAAAGTACCCAACCAGAAAAGACTATCCTGGTGATCCCTGAGATGTACAATCACTCTTCCCTGCCTCAGATCTTTGATGTTGGGGAAGCTCAGGGGTAGGGGAAGCCACATGGCAGGTGTCAGGCACTCCTCAGAGGCTTGTTACCTTTCTGAGCCCTGAGATGGACGACAATCCCCACCACAAGGAAGATTATCCCAAACAGGAAGCCTCCAGCTCCACTTAGTATCTTCCTCCATGAGTATTCAGATTGCGCTCCTACAGAAAACAGGTCTTAAAGTTATTCAAAAAAAAAAAACTCCCAATATTTGATGCATCTTCCTGAAATACCAGAGCCCATCCAAAAAAAAAAAAAAAAAAAACCCATTCCCATCAAATTGAGTCAGATTCATAGCGACTGTACAGGACAGGGCAAAACTGTCCCCATAGGGTTTCCAAAGCTGTATTTTTTACAGAAGCAGATTGCCACATCTTCCTCCCACAGAGAACCACCAACCTTTAGGCTAGCAGCCAAGCGCTTAACCACTACACCACCAGGTCTCTTCCAGAGCCTGTAGTGGATGCCAAATGCAATGCTGCCTAGAGAAGGAAGGAATTTAGAAATGGCTCTTTGAGGCCAAGGATTTCACACATGGAGTTACCTCCCATCTGTTACTGCTTCTTAAAGCCTATAAGAATGGCCCCAAAATACGAAGACTGTAGTGTTAGAGGGTACTAGCTCCCAGGGAGGAGCTCTCATGGTGCAATGGTTAAGAGCCCAGCTGCTAACCAAAAGGTTGGTGATTGGAATCCCCAGCTGCTTCACAGGAGAAAATCTTATGAGGCAGTTCTACTCTGACCTATAGAATCGGTATGGGTCAGAATTGACTTGATGGTAATAGATAGTGGTAGAGTTCTCAGGGTGGAAGAAAGTGATGAGATGAATGGACCTCTTCCTTTCTTGCAAGGTAAAAACTCATTGTCATTGAGTCAATTCTGACTCATAGTGACCCTACAGGACAGAGTGAACTGGTCCCATAGGGTTTCCAAAGCTGTAAATCTTCACAGAAGCAGACTGCCACATCTTTTTCCTGTGGAGTGACTGGTAAGGTTGAACCACTGACCTTTCAGTTAACAGCCAAGCTCTTTACCACTGCACTATCAGGGCTTGAAAGGTATAGGATAGATATCTGCCATGTTTACGCCACCCTAGCCCAAAGACTCCAGATCTCTGTGCCTTTCCTAGGTCAGGGAAAAGAATTAGTGCTATGACCAAGAAATGTGCAAAGGTGACACAGGCTGGGAGTCAGTATGATTGTGAAGTGGGCCCAGAGAGTACAAGAAGCTGACTCTCACTCCACTCCACAGAAACAGGAATGAGCAGGCTTGGGTGGTCAACAAGGCAGGTGTAGACATCTCCAAGTTCAAGAGTCATTTCCAGCATCACCACAGTCTGAAAAGTCCAATCTCCGTTCCTGATAAGGCCTGTTGACACAATCCCAGCTCTCTCCTCCTCCCCATTCCGGAACCACTTGACCTTGATGTCCCCTGGATAGAAATTTGTCACAGAGCAGAGCAGCAAATTGGGGTGATGTAGGGATGGGGTCCTCTCCAGATACACCATCACCTCTGGTTGCACTAGGAAGAGAGAAAAAGATGAAACATTGTGAGCGAAAACCACCAACTTTCTTTAGAGACTTAATTCCTGCCTCTAATCTTGTCCCAGAGCCCAGTGGAAACTGGAAAAGTAGGAAAACCTCAGGCCGAAGACACAGGAACTGGGTGTGCCAAGAAGGCATAAAGCCCCAAGAAGGACTTAAGCCTTATCAGACACTTGCAACAATTACCTCTTCCCTGAGGGTACACTAGTCCTTAAAGTCCCTGAGGACTTGGCAGGTCTGGGACCTAGAGCACAGTGACCTGACCTGTGAGAATAATGAGTAGGTCACTGTTGAGAACAGAACATACACAGACTCCCCTGTTCATAACCCTTCATTTACCCTGAAACAGACAAATGCCTATCATAAGAAAGAAGAACCACGGCCAGAATTGCATGGGGGAGATTTCCTGAACCTCGCCAGACTCCATCTCCCACCTCACCTTTTCTCGCCACTGTGAAGGGTGCACCAAGTTTGTAGTTATGTCTGCAGAGTGTGTCCACAGCAGCTCTGCTCCTCTCCAATAAATCCATCCGATTGTTCCACTGCTCAACATCGGGTTTCCCCAGCTCCGTCAACGCCACAAACATCCCCACATCACTGTCGAAATGTGCATACTCCTCCAAGTTAAAGATGAATCTAACAACAAACTGCACCTTTTCTGTCCCATTGGTGAAGTAACAGTCAGCCTTTGCCTGAATCACAAAATCCTCTGGAAAACCAAGAAAAGGACCATGAGCCAGTCCCCATCCTTAGGAAACCCATTTCTGACAAATTATACCAGACTACATTACAATGTGCTGTGAACTCACTGGCTAAAATTAATTTAATTCCTTTGCATTTGAGAACAGCAACAATAAAAGGAAATGATAATGGAGTTAATAGTGCAGGTTTGACCAGTAAAGAGCTCTCTGAAGAAATGGCATTTGAGACTTGAAGGACACTTGCTAATGCTCTTGAGTTGTAAGAAGATTTTAGAAGAGGCCTTTTGAGCTCAGTAAATAATCCAAAGTAGGGAGCTCTGGTGGCATAGTGCCTAAGGCTTTTGACAGTTAACCAGAAGGCTGGCGGTTCAAACCCACCAGCCACTCCTCAGAAGGAAGATGGGGCGATTTACTTCTGTAGTGATACTGCCTCGGAAACCCAAAGAGGGGTTGCTATGAGTCAGGTCTGACTCGATGGCACATAACAACAACAACAGGCTCTTCTACTCCTAGGCTCCACCTCTGATTCCTCTTAGCAAAAGACATCCATGAGGAGAAGAAGCCCAAGGTCCATTCTACTAGACCAGCCAAACAGGAGATATGTAACCCAAAGAGGCAAGTGAAAGAGAAAGTCCCAAGAGATGTAAGCATTCATTCATTTGTTTATTCAAGGAATATTTATTGACTCTGTTCAATGCCCGATACTGTGCTAAGTTTTTCCCAGCCAAGCTTTCTAAAGACCAAGGTTTTAACTCCCTCGGAAGGAAGGTTGGGCAATCCTACTTCCGTAGTGATACTGCCTCGGAAACCCAAGGAGGGGTCGCTGAGTCGGGGCCGACTTGATGGCAAATAACAACAACAACAACATTACCAAGTCAAAAAAAGATCCATCCCCATGTAGAATAATTGAATAACATGCTTTCCCTTGGCAATTTGTTCTACCCATTCCTTCTGGAATAAAGTGGAGGAAGGATGGGGTGGGGGGAGGCGAAACACAGAACAAGTGCATAAAGGTATAAAATTAAGCTCCCCTTCTACCTCCTACTCACTATGAATTTTCTCCAGGAATTTTCCTTTTGCTTTTTCCTTTATACTCTTACTCAAGAGACCTCAATCCCATCCCCTGTGCTGGCTCTAACATTACCTGTGTTGATATTAAAAAAGAATTAATATTAATTCATGGTTTGAAGATGTCTCTTATTATTAGTTATTATTACTATTACTAACAGGATCATTACCCACATCTACAATTCTAGTATTCACAATATTGTAAAATTCAAAAAACTCACTGCCGTTGAGTGGATTACAACTCATAGTGACCCCTTCTTGGGTTTCCAAGGCAGTATCTCTACAGAAGTAGAATGCCCAGTCTTCCTTCCAAGGAGTGGCTGGTGGGTTTGAACCGCCAGCCTTCTGGTTAGCAGTCAAAAGCCTTAGGCACTATGCCACCAGAGCTCCTTTACAATAACATAGTGACAAGGAATATAAGGTTACTTTAAACCTTCTTTTAGGACTTTTCTATTGAAAACAGAATAAACAAAAGGTCAATTCCATTGTCCACTATGCTTTTCTACTTTTAAAGTACCTGGTAAGGTACTTTAAATTAGTAAATATTGACAGATTCATCTGAACTATTTATTAACTTTCATACACTGGGCCTCATTTTTAATCTACTCATGTTTTCCAAAGTTATTTAACTTTCCAAAGTTATTTAACCTTCCAAAGTTATCTAACTTTCCAAAGCTATTTTCCTCATCCTCATAGGTAAGAAAAAGTATTATTTTTATTTCTATAGCATATAGTCATACTTGTCTTAGAGAACTGGAAAATTTTAACTGGTAAATTGCCTGGGTTTAGGTTTATTTAAGTTCTAGGACTATATTAAGTGGTTTTACTTAGGAAAAGACACTTCCGCACCCTGAGCCTGCTTCCTCATTGATAAAGATGAATTTGCATTCACATTCAACAGCATGAGGCTTCCCATGCTCTATCAGTGCCACAAACATCCCCACATCACTGTCAAAAAGCATAGTGTTAAGTGAAAAGAAAAATAGAATACAGTCCAATGCACAATATTTATTACAATTTTAAAATACAAACAAAAAAATACTACATATTTTTAAAGGCCACCCTCATACTTAAAATATACTAGTCTCATTACAATGGTTATCTATGGAGGGAAAGGAATGAGAATGGAAATACAAAGAAAGAGAGAGTCCTTTTACCAACCAAGGATTACAATGTGCTATGAACTCACTGGCTAAGATTAATTCAATTCCTGTGCATTTGAGAACAGCAACAATAAAAGGAAATGATAATAAAGTCAATAAAGAGCTCTCTGAAGAAATGGCATTTGAGACTTGAAGGACACTTGCTAATGATCTTGCGTTGTAAATTTACATTCATTTCTAAATTCAGAGGCCTCCTCTACTAACTAGAGTAGATTGTAAGGACAGTGGCATCCTTCCTGGGTCAGCCATATGCATCTCCCACTCAGTGGCTAATTTCATGTAAAGCTCCATCTCCAATTCCTTACCATTTGTTTTCTTCTCTATTTCCTCTCAAAGTCTGAATCAGGGGGGAAAAATCTGAATTTTCAGTCATCCTTTAAGATCTTTGCTGATTTTTTTTTCAGTTGTGTCGTTCAATGGAAATTGTAAGCACAAAGTGGTTTCTATTCTCTAAGGATGTTCCTCTCTCCCTAGGTTTGTTCCTCTTTTGTATTTTTGAGACACTGACATTCAAAGTGGGTTCTGTTCTTAGCAC